TGGGAAAATCGCATTTATCGTGGGAAAATCGCATTTATCGTGGGAAAATCGCATTTATCGTGCGAAAATCACATTTATCGTAGGAAAAATCCGCCTAATAGTTTTTCATTAAAGGCGGTGTTCGCTTTAATAGGGCGCGTGTTTTCACACTCGAAGTTTTCGCCCGGTATGGATGACAGGGACTTTGCTTTGACTAATAACTTTTCGTGTGCTACAATAAATGGCATCGTGAGCCGTCGGTGGGACAACCCTGTACTAGATGGATACTCTGATCTGTCGTCGGTGGATGGTGAGACTATCCGCGTCTATACACACACGAACACACATGAAAGACGAACAAACATTCATCCCACTTTCAGATATTACACAACGACCCTTCCGGCGTAGAGGGAGAGTCGACAGACGCTCCTAGCAACCTCGGCTATCTATCCTGACGAACCGTTGCCAAGTCTAACTTCTTGAGGAAAGGAAAATTCTGCTCTTTTAGAGTCAATCGCCTAGTCCTATATTGATATCAGAAAACTCGTAATTGATAAGCGGTGGTCGCGGCGGGGTCCTGGGATGGGGTCGGGGCGGGGGGACCGCCCAGGCCGACCGCTCAGCTGGATTGGCTGCCAGCAGATGGTACCTCAGTGTCAGCCGTTGGCTTTGTGGGCAGATTTGTCGCAAGTCATTGGTGTGGGTCACACGTGGGTGTATCCACAAGGCCCTACTCGAGTCGTTTATTTGATATTTTATCGGAGGCGGTCCTATGAGCTTACGTTTAAAACATTCTTTCGTGAGATTTTGGTTTTCTAAACCCCGGACATCTTTGGAACAACACGTATGACTTCGCTCTTCCCAGCGATGAAAGTTAATTTTCTACCTCTCTTTCTAGATCACCTGATTCTTCAGTGAATGAAGCGGTCAGAAGCAATTTAGTCTTGTTTCCTATTGGATATTGTGTGGATATAAAAATTGAATATTTTAATTTAAATTTAAGAAAAGAAATTATTGATTTTCAGTTCTATAAATCGAACATGTCTATTTTGTTTTTAAAATGCCAACTTCACGTGATGCCACTTCTAGTGATGCCAATAAGTGAATAGCTACATCCCGTCCACATATTGTAACTCCACCTTTCAAGTACCTATAGTACCTCCCCACCTCAAGTAACCCTCTTGTGGTAATTTTCGAATTCATTGCTGCGAATTCTGTCAACGGAACATCTATTTTTTTGCCTCTGTTATGTTCTACCTTCTTATGTTCTGACATCGTAAATTAAAATGAAATCAGTGTGTTTAAACCTCATCGCTACAACACATTGAAAAGGCCGCCTACCTCGGAGTGTAGCAAGATGACAGTCGCAGTTCCATGACAAAGATTCCAGTGTACGAAAAAGTGTGACAAAGAAGCCTTTGTGAACGGTTGTGGCTGTGCTATCAATAAACTCAAAACTTATTCGTTATTCCTTCATTACTCATTAAGTTTTTGTTTCTCGTAATTAAACTCGTATTTAATAATTTTATCTCGAGAACACGTTTCAAGCAATGACAAACGTTTGCGGAGTTCAGAGTAATCCTTGATGCACGTGATCCAATAATAGCAAAATACACAAAACAAAAAGCATTGATTAATCGCCGCGTGCCTTCTTTTCAATTTCGGTAAGTCAATGAGATACATAAATATTATGATCGAGTCGTCCCTATTTGTGATGACCCCAACCAATGTGTTCTCGACGCAGTGTTGCGTAATCTCGTGGTCGTAATGTTGCATTCTTATCGCGCAGCGTAATACGCGGCGCTCTGCCAACGCGAACGAACGGCGTGTCGGCCGAGACGAGCTTTGTCTGGAGTTATGGGCCGAAGAAATGAGCATGGAGATATCTTGATGACTGGGGCTTGCACATTGCGTGGGTTGCAAAAGCGACTGTAAAAAAAAACAACTATTCGTACAGTAATGCATTGTTGACAGTTATTGTAACTTACGCAGTAATTACGGGAATTTCGAATAATTACGAATAATTCGTAACTTCTCTATTCAGTGGGTGAGTGGGAATACCGTACTAGACCAAAATTGGAAATTTTCGTTTTTTACAGAAGTTACTGCTGCAGGCATTTCAGACGTCTGGCTGCTCGCAGCGGATGGTTCACACTTGTTATTTGCGAGCGGTACGGGGCTAATGTAATTTACTTGTATTGTTATTGATCGAGAGTGTGACTGTAATAAATCGTAAAGCGAGACATGAAGGGAACAATAAGCCAAGCGCCAGTCATTTTCGTTATTTTGGGTTGAAAGAATGTGTTCAATTAAGTTTGTAGACAAGCATTGAATATCACATATTCAGGTTCAATGACTGACAGGCATTCTTTTGTCAAGTCGAAAAGATGGAAGAGGGAAGCATTATACCGAACCTCATGCTAACGAGTACAAAATCTAGTTAATATAGAAGAGCAATGAGAATCCTTTCCAAAAAAATTGCACACTACTCGCCAGATTTTGTGAAGTTTATACCCAGTGAATTGAACGTCAAAACAGCCTGTCCAAAAACATTAATCACATTGAAAAGGAAAATGTTATTATATTTGAGCTCTACTTAAAGTTTCAACTTGAAATTTGGACGCAATTTGGACACACATTACTTTTATTCATACAACATTAAAATGTATTTTTGTGGAACATTGTAGTTTTACAAGAAATTTGGTTGGTAAATCTTTGTTGAGTTGATAAAGAGTAAAAGTCCACCGTTCTTGTTTAAATTATAACACACACACACACACACACACATGTTTTTATTGCGTACAGTCCTCAGAGGATACGGTTTGGTGCAACATTTCTGAAATAAGAAAATTGTCTAAATATCAACAATTTTTTTATCGAATCAAAATTTATAACTTTAATTATCTCAGAATGAACTTCCTGGTGTGGTACTGTTTTTTCACTCACCCATTCAATTCATATTTTCAACATTGGATTAACCGAAGTGTGCGGAAAAGTTAATGCCCCAAACTAGAAAATCATTTCTGCTAAGCAGATCGAACCACTGAAATATTATAGTTCATCACTATTCAGGACGCAAAATATACTCTTACACCAAGAGAGACAGCATCGGTATTTGTTCCCATGTGTTCGACTCGTGGGGAATCTGAAACGCCGGGGAACGAGTCTGGAGTAGATTTGCATAGTGTTTGGTAGGTACTCGATAGGCGACACGTGTACACATACGTTATAAAAGGAGAGTTGTGTCGTAAAGGAAACGAAAAAAAAAAGCTTGAAGAAAGAAATCTCAATTAGGCTGCATAATCAATGAAAATCGTTGACGGAACCTAGGAATACCATCCTGGGAGTTATTGGTAGTGAAACGAAAACATAAGAATTGAGGTTGATATATTAGTGATTCCGGGCACGTATACTGTTAAGGTCACTAGACCAGTAAGTTCAGTGCAAATTATATCGCGGGAAGAGGAGGTCATCTTTTCCCCAGCTGAATGGCGAGATCCGGTGCCGACCTAAACTCCGGATGATTCTTCCAGATGATTCTTTTCCAGTCAGGTATTTCCCACCAGCGGCGCACCGCCGTAGCCAGGACACGCTTTAAGCTTCCGACATGTGTTGTAGTGTAATGCATGTAAATGTGTGTAAGTAAGGAGAAGATAGGACAACGAAGGGAAAGGAGGGATAGCGCGCGGTCTGCTCTGGTATTAGCCTGGTGTGGATCGGATAAACCATAGAAAACTGCCGATAAGGGCAGCCTGCCGCTTGAATTCTCCTCCAAACAGTGGCTGAATTTGAACTAGATAAGTAGCTACTGTAGAAATTTATGCCTCCCATGGGAATCATATTCTAGGACCTTCCGGGTCAGAGACATTGCAGTGACATGTTGATGCCCTTAGCCACCTAAATTGATATAAGAATTGAGCGTCCATAGTAACTTACAAGGGAATGCTACGACGTGACATGTCGAAACCTGTCCCGATCCATCTTTTCATCGGAAGCACATGCCGTATTAATCTCACGATCAAATTTTTGGGTGCCGACACATACTGCAAGTCAATTAAAAAAAACATGCTGAATTTGCAAATTGGCCCTATGCTTTCACCGATGTAAAAAGGCCAACACTGCAAAGTACCCAGCGCACTCGCTTGTGATTCAACACCACTGCTCACCGCAAGCGGCTGACTCTGCTTCCAAGGTCGTTTCCTGCGAGGAGCAGGCGGGGAAGCAGTTGCCCCTCCTAGCAGCTGAAATAATAAAATTAATCACACCAATATTAACTATACATTGGGAAACTACTAAGGGTTTTTCGATTTTTAGTTTTATCTGTTGTTCATTTTTGTAAGAAATACATTTCGTCGTGATACACCTTGCCGCAACCGCTCATCGCTCATCCAACATGAACTACCTCCCCTGGAGCTTTTTCCTTACGGATTTGAGAGCTGTCTGCGTCTACTGGGAAATAGTTCAGTTGTGAAATCACACGCGGAAGTTCGGTGCAAACTGGAAAAATTCTGTAAAGTTGTCTTTCGGAATTTTTCGAATGAGAAAGTTGATTTATCGTCACAATAGGCACAAATTAAAGAACGGTAGTTTTCGCGAACAAAAAACAAAATGAGGCAATGACATGTGAATTTGATTCACAAAACAACTCTAATATCTCTTCTTTAAATTATTTAAATATAAAGTGATACTTTAATTATATGATATACGTTTTCAATATTTAATAATTATGTATATTGACGATATTCATAATGGAAAAAAGTAACAAATTTTCATTGGTAAGGAAATAAAATATCTCAAATAAAGTGGACTTTTGCAATAAGAAAAGCATTGAATGTGCTGAGAATGGCCTGCTCCCATCGAATGTCATTTGACCTTGAGGAAACAACCCTCAACAACGGCGCCCGCGCGCTCGCTGCTCGGCTGGCGAGGACTTCGGAAAATGTCGGCAACTTTGTAAATTTTTGAAGTAATTGGCAGTAAGTATCGGCAGCCAAAATTTACATCGTAGTATCAGAAGGGCAAGTAAATTCAATGAAAAAAACGAGGGCACGTTTCGACATGTCACTTCGCGCCATTCCCTTGTTAATAAAGCACATTGTCTTGTAATTCTACGGAAAGTAAAGAAATATCAGCAATGAAGTACACCAATCTAAACTAGTGATGCAACAACAGCTCGTACTTTCTTATATTAGTTCGAAATTTGCTTTGTCAAAAAATTAGTTCCACAAAAATAAGCCCCACGCCACTTTTTTAAGCGTCCCTTTCCATCCGTCGAAAATATTTAAAGAAAAATGTTCGAGAGGCGTTTGAGAAAATGATTTGTTTAATTGCATAAATTTCAAACGCAGGTTATAACGTGAAAAATTTATAGTTTTTGAATTTTGTTGTTTTGAAATGGTAACTTTTTGCAATTTACGAGAGATAGCCGAAAATGGGACTTGCACCATATTTTTTACCGTCCATTATTACATATGAGGGGGAAATTGAAAAAAAAAAATGGTAACTGTTTATTGAGAGGAAAATCGTTAAAAATGAAGATAGCCTATGTTTCGCGTAAAATAGCTCGAACACTACTCATATTTTCAAAAAATTGAACAGGAACTTATTTGAAGGTGTCTTCAAAAACAGATTTCATTTAAAAAATCATTAAAAATCTATATCTTCAATAATACAGTTGTAGGAAGACGAACCAAGAAAAGGAATTTTTGTAAATAATAAAATCCATAATTTCAACGAACATGAGAAGTGGGGACAGCTCTCTTGGACGGATGGATGGACGGACGGACGGATGGACGGACGGACGGACGGATGGACGGACGGAGGGACGGACGGACGGAGGGACGGACGGACGGAGGGAGGGACGGACGGACGGACGGACGGACGGACGGACGGACGGACGGACGGACGGACGGAGGGAAAACGTTTTTTTCGGTATCAAGCACACACCAAACATGGATTCTGGCTACACCACATGTTTTTTCTAAATTTAGCAACAGAATTTATCCATTTTTTCGTTACCAGGTCCCAGTAATAATGAATTTTCTCCCGAAAATTCGCCCTTTTCCGGCACATGATTACACAACGTTTTTTTTTCTTACGAAGTACCTTCGTAACGGCGATCCCTCTCATTGTCCATTGAAAGCCGGTTGTGTTACTTCACTTGCTAGCTACTACATCACAGGCGATGCCAGACCATATTTGGCTTATTTTGAAGGTCTCAGGCATCTATGCCTTGAATGTCGCCGAAACGAGAAATATTATCCTTTCACACTAAGAAAAATCCGGATGTAAACAAATACACGTGTGTTAGGATGATTCTCTTTGATTTGTAGTGTGAGCTCTGCTGTTGTCGGGATCCTGACGCTAAAGTGAATAGTAGTTCACTATATAAGAACTTATTTGTTCTGCCATAGTTTAAATTAACAGTGCGGCCAAACAATGGCAACGGTTTCGAGGAAGGAGACTAAAGTGACCTGAATGCGTGTTGCTGGGCGATAACTATACATCGGATGTATATGAATATGTGTATATGAATTACGGAAAATTGAACATTCTGACGAACTTTTATTTTGCCTTTTTTTGGTGTGTGTGTGTGTGTGTTTTCTCTCATGTTATATTGTTTTTTGATATTGGATAATTTTAGGTTCAAGTGTGCAAAATTAAACACAGATAAAACTAAAATTCGGAAAAACTTGTATTAGTAGTTTAGACTATGTATAGTTATATTGGTGTTATTAGTTTTATTATTTTAGCTGCTAGGAGGGGCAGCTGTCTCCCCGTCTGCCCTTCGCAGGAAACGACCTTGGAAGCAGAATACGCCGCTTGCTGCGAGCAATGTTGTTGAATCACAAGCGAGCGCGCTTGGTAACACCTGCTTTGCAGGGTTGGCCATTTTTACATCGGTGAAAGCACAGGGCCTATTTTCAAATCCAGGATGTTTTTTTAATTGACTTGCAGTGTGTATCGGCACCCAAAAGTTTGATTATGAGATTATTGCGGTATGTGCTTTCGATGAAAAGAAGGATTAGTAAAAGTTTCGACAGGTCACATCGCGGAATTCCCTTATTAGTAACATTCGTATTTACTAATATTTACTATGACTGTTTATTGAGGATTTTCTCAAATCTTTCGAACGATTTTTGTATTGTATATGTTATTTCATAAATGTGGGGTGGTTGTTGCATTGCACTGCATGATTTTTCATTATTGGCAGCTTCCGAATAGAGTTTTTCTCTTCTGCTATGTATTTGAATTTGTAGATTTCCTAGAGCTGGAAAGCTTCCTGTGATTGGAGATGTTGATCTTTGTGACTAAAATGGGTTTGTTCCTTTTCTGTTGCTGATATGCCTTCAATTCTTTTGATGGTTCATTGCAAGAATATTTCATTTTGCGTTCGTGTTGATAAACAGAGTAACTATTGTAATTTGCACGATGATCGCCATCACATAAAACGCACAAAGCCTTTGTTGTTCTGTCCTTGGTACACAGTAATGTATAGTGATCATCACTTGCACATTTAACTCAGCGATACGGGAGATGACAGTAGCTATTCGAGTGATGGAATCTTGCCAAGGTTTGAATTGAACAACTTCCCTCTTCACTTGTGAAGGTTCAAATCATATTTTATAATTTAGTAAAAATTATATTTTGTATATTTGTTGTTTGCCCTTCGATCTAGATCTACGAACACCGTTGACATTGGCTATTTTGCGATTTTGTGTTTAGTATTGAAAATTTGACGCACACCGTGTCCTTATGTAGATATTTCTATATAGTCTATATCAGTTGTTAGATGCATATTTCTTAACACCACTCTGAAAACTTTATTTTACATCATCTGATATGTACCAAATTTCAGGTTCTTTGTTTTGAATTTCGTTACTAGAGCACTGTGGACATCTAGACTTTTTGACAAGTGTTACTTCATTGTTATTGTAAACTAATTACATAAGTCATGATTTATTGGATATGAAATGATGTCTCTATCTACATGTGCTGCACACATGTGATTAAATGATGTATATCTGTGGCTCCAGGTACGAACAATTACGGTGGTTTTGGCTGCCATTTTCTCATAAATCACTGTCTTCATTGGGACACAAGCATTTCCACCTCCACTCACCTCGCTGAACATATTTCTACATTCAAAGTTTGGTTCTGTTTGTAAGTGCGTGACTTCAAGATTGCGTTGGGGGTCACTTGTTCTAGATCGCTTTTTGTTTCAGTAAGAAACTGTTTGCCTCTGCAGTGGGCGCAGCGTTATCTGGAGTCTTTACCTTGAAAGGTGAGCGGCATTTTCTCTGTCTGCGTCTTCGGCGATTGCGATTGTTGCGGCTGCTGTTGTTGTGGCTGCGGTTGTTGGGACTGCAGTGGCCATAACTGAGGAATTTCCGAATTTTGCAATAGAGCAGCTGGCGGGTAAATCCCTACAGCGACATCTCCCGAAATGCCAGTACACAGACTGACCATAATCGTCTCAGTGACAGTGCCATTTAATATAAGAAGTTCTCTAAATATAAGCTGCCCCGTGGGGTAAGTTTTAAGCGACGGTTAATTATGTTCATACGTTAGAACTATCGTTGTCTTCTTGCAACTCATGTCTAGAGCGCTGATAACACCACGAGAGCGAGCGTATTATAGGTACGCGTAACGTAGCGCGTATTATTTTTGTGTTTTTACAGTAGAATCTGAGAGCTGAAAAACAGGTAATGTAAGGTGCTGTGTGATTTGAAAGGAAGTGCATCTGCCTCACAATGTGTTAGTGCAAGAGAATCTGAAATGCTAAGGCGAAAAGGGCTCAGTCAATAGCGTTTTAATATCGACCGATGTCGCGCTTTATTTATTATTTTATTTAAATACCATGAAATATTGCATAATTTTTTCATAGTATAATTAATAAGTAAATGACCTGGATAATGTGGAAAAGTGAGAAAAATTAGTCCTAGGAAAAGAGTGGTCAACATGTTATTCCTGAAAGTGTGCAATGTAATTTATCTTGATCTCTTATTTACAGTAGTTGTTCCGTTGATCTACTATTGCATTGTTATAAGATTTATTTGATACACACTTTAGTTACATAAAAATACATAGTTTGGATGTCCTGAATTCCATTGTTGTCCTTTGATTCGTGGAAATTTAGAAGTCGCACAAAATTAATTTGCTTTTAAAGCCTGCCTGGAAATAGAATTTGAGGTATTATTTGAGGAAAATAATTTATAGTTACGCGCTCAGGATCCAGAATATAAAACTTTTGTTACCTTTGGTGTTCGTTCAAGTATTTGGTTCGTAAATGCGTCCGGGTAATACTGAATTTAGTCTTGCATTGTTGCCGTGGACGGACCCATACACTTTCGAGATAGTACGTGACAGCTTCCCCCGTCAGGGCATTTGCAAGTCTTAGAGATTGTTTACACGCTCCTGGTCAGTGACACTCTGTGGCATAGCGTGGGTAAGAACCGCGCGGAGGAAAATTTCGCCGCCTACTTATTTAGGCATTTCAATTTAAAGGAATAAAATACACAGTCACTCTTAATTAACTTTCCGGTGCGAACAATCATCATTTTTGTGTTTAATACAGGTTTTAAAAAAGGGATTGTGTATATGTTTTACACTATAATCGCATTTATTACAAAATTTCTTACTCGAATACCATTTACATTGATATATGTAACTTACATTCCTCTAACAGGTATAGAACACTTGTACCTTGAAGATTGAGAAAATTACGTTTTTAGTGAACTGACTATAAAACACATATCGTCTTCTAATTAGAACTAGAACGATAGTATTACTATTTATATTTAAAAATAATAGAATTGTTAGAATTAAAAACAAAACGAAAATATGAAACTGAAACAAAAATATGAAAGAAAATGGTTGAAATATTTAAAAGTTATTAATTACTTAGGTGACCAATTGTCCTCCTTTAGGGAGGACAGTGCTTCTTTTGTAGGTTCCGACCTTCCTAGAAATGTCATCCTACCTGTCTCCTTTTCGATGTTTTAAAACTAATTTGTTAATCTCTCTATTCAGAGATGTCGCGTCGTAGTCACCTTATAGTTAGTACTAGTTATAGTTACTGTGAAATTTTGGGGGCCCTTAAAAGTGCCGCCCTCACACCGCCACGCCTTTGGTGCCTCTCAAAGCAATGCGAAATCGCATATATTTTTAGCGCATTTATTTATCGTGATATGTTTGTGAAGACATGTAATATGTCTTCGTCTTCCACCCAAAGAATAGGCATTAGTGCCTGTTCTGTCTCCACTCGCACTTCAAGACCGTCTCTTCCTGGGTTGTCCGACTTCTTTGCGTCCTTTCGGATGGCACTTCATCACTAGTCGTAGAATTCTTTCTTCATCCTTTCTTCATCAACAGGATGCTCCCATAATTCTCTGTATTCTTTTATCTTTTCATTTATGTTTCAAATATCCTGTTCTTTTCGGATATCTTTGTTTCGTGTTTATATGGTCTTGTATTAAGCAGCATTTAACTTTTCTGTGAAATCTCATTTCTGCTGCTTGAATTTTGATTTGATCTCTCTTTTTTATTATCCATGATTCACTTCCATACCGGAGAATTATGCATGTAATTTGTAATATAATATGTAGTATGTAATATAATGATATCATACGATACGATATAATATGATATAATATTATATAATATATGGTATAATATATTTCACTCGCCATTTAAACGCGCAAGTTAAATTAATTAGTTACCATAATACAATTCAGTTAAGATATTGGTTCCTTACATTCGAAATGCCTCATATTTATGAAGTCGTTTGGCCGGCGAGATATCTTCGTGGGCGGGCTCCGCTTCGGCTTCCAGCGAATTCAGCTGACGAAGGCGCAGGCGACGGCGACTGCGACTGCGTAGGCGGTAGGGGGTCGAGGTCAGAATTGGTCGCCGGGTGGGGGGGAGCGGCGGTCGCAGGCGGCTCTGGGGCACGTTTCGTGGTAAGGAAAGGGCGAGGGATCGGGCGCTCTCGTAGATGACGAGGGACGACAGTCAAACGTCTTTGCTAGAGATAAATGTACGTCGTTTTCCAGAAAATCTCTTCCCATGAGGCATGGAGAGTTCTAAAAAAATAAGTTTGATTCCATTCTCTATTAATCGTAACCCGGCAGTAGGAGCGCGGTATTTCGTAACGAAATTGAGAACGACTCATTAAGCGGTTGGGTGCAATAAAACAACAGTGAATACAATACTTCTGTTTGTTTATGTGTTTATTTTGAAGTTTATATAACGAGTTTAGAATCAGCCAGTGATTTACTAATTTCTGTCTATGTTTTTTTTTTCAACACATTGAACAAAATGCTCTTTTTCTTTTGTTTCGTCGCGTATGGATAAACTTTTCTGTACCAAGAATACATTTTAACATACTAAAGATATAATAATGTTGTTATGTAATTACGATAACATAAGTATATCAGGCAACCTAAGTCAACCTAAGCCCCTTCTTACGCCGCCACCGCTGCGCGCTTCCGAACACCGCGGCTCGTCGCAGAGCATTGGTTTGAATGGAATTTCTTCCCACGTGCGGCGGGTTTGCGCCGCTGCGGCAAATTGCGGCGGACTCTCGCTATGCGAAGCGGAGGAGGGCGTATGCGCCACCGCTAGCAGAACACGGCTTCAAATGAATGTATTCCCACTGCGCCGCCGGTCGCGGCGTTTTCCCGGCTGCGGTCTCTTTGTTCGTCGTCGTCGGAGGGTCGGCGAAACGTACTCCTGCAGAACCCACCCCCTTCCACGGCGGACGGCGGTGGGGCCGTGGCGTGCAGCCCGGTCGGAAGAGCCCCGCCGCTTGACGGATGCGCGCCGCCGTGGCGACGTGTGAGGGCGCCCTACAACTAGTTAATATTTGTTTCACTCAAGAATATTTTATACTTTGAAAACGAAATAAGAGAGCAACTAACCTAGAAAGGCCCTGTGCGAAAGAAGAAACGAAAATAAAAGCGCAAATTGCTATATAATATGAATATTCTATAGTCAACTATAGAAACCTAAATAACGCCCTACCACGGTGAGTGATTGAAAATAAAATCGCTTACTGCCGGTCCGGGTGGCCGAGATCGCTAAGGTAGTAGTGCCGTAGCGATGTCGGAAAGAGGGATCGCGGGCTCGAGTCCCGCCTCGGGCATGGTTGTATTGTGGTCGACCTCTCAATCCCCTATCATCATATCGTGTCATCCTGTTATCATACCGTTACTCGCAATAGTGGTCGCTAATGACCTAGAAGTTGATGCGACCTTAAATAAAAAATAAAATAAAATAAAAAAAGAACCGCTTACTGTGCGACTGGATCGCCCACTTCCATGAAGTGCGTGGCGTGGAGAGGCACGGGGTGACTCAGTGACCCCCGCAACGCGACACTCTTCATTTGGAAGGAAATTTCTCGGAAAGGACCGGAAGCTGTGGTCGGTTAAGTGCATAAAATTTTCCTCGAAAGGTATTCTATTTAGAAGCTTGAAAGATTATAAACATACAGTATGTATCAGTTTTGTTCGTACAGTAACATTTGGGAAATGTAGTAATAAAAAAATGGAATAAATATTGGTTTATTTCTCAATGGTATTGCATTTTTTATATGTATACGAGCATATACATGAAACGAAAACGTGACAATTGAGCACAACAAAAAAATATATTACAAGAAACAGAAATACGTCACATTTCTTTGTACCATTTCTGATCGTAAACGAATCACTAATTTCAAAAATACAATAAACAAAGGGAAAACTTCAAGAATATAATACACAAAGTTATAATATTTAGTAGAATATCTCTTAGCCTTGATAACTTCTTTGCATCTTCGCTGCATTGAATTAACAATGTTCTGGCAAACTTATGATCTAATTTTTTGCTACTCTTCCAAAACAAATTCATTACGTCTTTTTTCGAAGAATTACTGTATTTTTTGTGTGGGTTTCCAATAAGGCCCACGTATGTTTGATTGATGTTAATTAGCTGATTGTGAAGAACTATTCAACTGTTAGGATACGTTTCACATTGGCCATTTCTTGCTGAAGCGAAATGAACCGAAGAATAATTGTAGAAAACTTCAACAAATCGTAGCACTGTCTGAGGTGTAATTATTTAACGTCTAAACACATTTCCCGTGTGTAAATGGCATTTGATTCGTGTTTAATATAGAATTTACGCTACGACGCCCTTTCCCACCCCTCCAAAGAAATTGCCAAAACCCATTTTTCAAATTGCTTATCATAGTTCCTGGCGGAATTTTTTTAAAAAAGTGGGCTTATAGCGCGATGGCGACGT